ATAGAAAGATTACCTGTTTCACCAGGTAGTCTGCTGAGCAAGGGATGATGTAAAGTGTCAAATTAAGACATTAGGACTGTGCCTGTTAAAAGTCACATTTCCATTATGGAGACTGTCCAAAATAAGTAAAGAAGCTCATTACCATGCTGTGGAAAGATGAAGAAAGACTGGGCCAGGGCAAGGTATAGAAAACAAAAGAGCTTTGTTTTTTGAGAGAGTCTTGCTATGCAGTTCAGGCTCCCCTCAAAATCACAACGACCCTTCTGCCTCAGCCTCCCAAGTGCTGGGATTACAGGTATGTACCACCATGCCAGGCAGAAAGAGAATTTTGCAACCACATTTCTGTAAATGGGAAAGGGATACAGATATGATGGGAGGGAAAAGGAAGGGGAATAAAAAGAATCGAGGTATGTTGAATATATGTGTGTGACTACTCCCTAAAGTGAATGGAAACATATAATGGAAACATGTACAGATAAAAATAAAAGTAAAAATTCTGTTGGTTTTTCTTTTGCTTATTACTTCACTTCTCTTTAGTAAACACTTAATGAACACCCATATTTACTCAACAAATATTTAATTTACACTTGTTATGGTTTGTGTCTAGGTGTCCTCCCAAAGCCCCACGTAGTCCTGGGGCAGCTTCTGGAGTTTGTGATTGATTACTGTGGGTATGGATGGTGCACCTGCCCTGGGGCAGGGAATCTGCATTAAAATGTAAGGAGGGAAGAGAAGCCAGCTGCTGGAGCCACTACTACCTCTCCCTTGTGCTCTTGCTCTTTGCCTCCACCATGAAAGGTTGCCCTCTGCCGTGTGCTGCTCCGCCTTGGAGCTAGCTGAGTGTGGACTGAAACCTCCAGTAACTGTGAGCTAAATAAACCTTTCCTTCCTTCATTTTGAGTGTCAGGTATTTGTCCCAGCAATGAGAAAAGAGCAACTAAGACAACACTAAATACTTAAGGCATTGTTTTCCAAGTGCCAAGGCCTGAGACATAGTAATCAGGCATGACACACTTCTGCACTTTCTGTACTTTCCAATCACCCAGTATCACAAGAGAATCGACAAGCAAAGCCAGCTAGAAGATGCCTATGTTGGCACAGGCTGCAAGTCCTGTTCACCTGTGAGACAGGTTCCCTAGGGACTGTCTTATGCCGCCGCCGCCGCCTCCTTGTTTTGGTGATGTGGTCCACCGGCTCCTTCGTGGCTTGTTCCCCGCTGTTAATCTGTACCTCAGTCTCATCAGCAGAGGATGCAAAAGCTTGACTTTCATCCTGAAAAGAAAGACATTAACCTGCCATGTCCTGTATAGTTATTAAGATGCTCAGAATCAGAATTTAAATAAAAAACTTATTAGAAGCTGGATGTGGTGAAGAGCCAGTAATGCCAGCACTCTGGAAGGCTGAGGCAGGAGGATTGAAAATTCAAGTACAGCCTGGGCAACTTAACATATTAGTGAGAACTGGAGTCAAAATTAAAAATTAAAAAAGAGCTGGGGACTGATGGAGACCACTATGAAGTGGCTCTGAGCAAGATTTCAAATTAACCCAATTGGCTTTCCATGTTTACTTATGAATATGCCCCAGATCTAGGCCCTTGTCTGCAGATGGTGGGCGGACTCATAGTAAGTGAACCTCTGTGAATCACTGGTTCCAGCTAAAGCTGTGACTGCTCAAAGGACAAGACAAGGCCCAGCTAAGGACACCTGGCTCCAACCTCCATTGACTAGATAGTACTATAACTGCAAGCCTCTCACTCCTGGGTGAAGGCCTTGCCTTCCTGGAGATGACAGAGTGTTCCTAAATTAACATAATGTCTTACTTGGAGAAATCCTTGAATGGTTCTCACCTTTCTTTAGTAACTCCCCTCCCTGGCTTGATAAATAAATAAATAAATACCAGTCGCCCAGAAAAGATCTTTGTCATAGGCCCCAGAGAATCTAGAATTCTGGTTAGAGGGTTTTGATCCTCATGGAGCCCTAAAATCACACTATTTGATTCATTTATTTAGACCTTTGTAGTACACTCCTTTGAGAGACTGAGGGCCTGATCAGCCCACAATAACTAAGTAATAATATTAATGTGTTAGAGGAGATAGCTCAGTATAGAGGTATTGGGTTAAACCCACAAAGACACTTTTTATATGACTTACTATCCCTGTCCCTTTCCCACCACAGCACAGGTCCTAGGCCAAGTTCTCCAGCTCATTTTTAACACCAGTGACCCGAGTCCCTGAGGCTAGAACATGTGGTCAGGTGCTAATCCCATCTACCTGCCCAGTATGTCAACCTGGCCATGTGAGAACAGCCAGGGAGCAGTATTTGCACTCCTGGGGGGAGCTATATACCCTCTGATAGACTTGTCTGAGCCTGGGGACAGCAGAACTATACATGGCTCACAGGAGGGAGTCCCCAGCACACAGTAACCTATATCCACAGTTTCTAACTCGTGAATGTAAGGCTAGTCTGCAGTGAGAGGCCTCCAAGCACCAGTGTGACTAACCCAAACAAGCCACAGCCGAGCACTTATCAGGCAATGATTTGGAGATGCATAAGCTTATACATTTCTATCCTGGATAGGATTAATGATGTCTTTTCCACGTGTTTGGACTTTGCTAATTTATTTTTGTATTCCTAAATTTACCCAAGAGTTTTCTATATTAGGTTGTTCATCTAAGATCATTACCAGATGTCACTTAGGAATCCTACATCTGATGGAACTTTTACTATGATCCTGTGGAAAATGAAACAGCTCCAGATGCTGAATTTGAAATAACACATCATTTTAAGTTTAATAAAACTATTACTACCCACTGTAAAATCTTCGGGTTTTGCAGTGCTGGGTATCTAACCAAGAGTTACCTCAAGCTATGTCCCAACTTCCAAAGTAAAATCTTGATTTCAGATGTCATTATGGTAATGAGATCCTGAACACCCTCACGACTCCTTAGCTACTTGAGAAAGATGGGTAAAATAATTTTAATTGATATAGTGCCTCCTCCAGTGCAGCTCTTGAAACTCTGGAGTGAGCACAACAGGGGATGAAGACAGGAATCAATAAAAGCTGAGATTGTCAGGTGGAGCCCCTTCTGATGGGAGAAAGGAACTCCCCAGCACCAGCAGTAATGCTGGTTTATTTAAGCAATCAGCTTAAACAGAGCGTTTAAGGGGAGAGTAGATTTAGGACAGGAAGAACATCTATCTTTTCTTTTCAGTACTGCGGATTGAACTTGAGATCTTGCACTTGCCAGCAAGGCCTTTAGCTGCTGAGCTATATCCCCAGCCCTTAATAGCGGTATTTTTTTTTTTTTTGGGGGGGGGGCGTGTATAGGGTCTCACTACGCAGCTCAGACTTACAGTGATCCTCCTGTTTTCAGCCTCCCCAGTGCTGGGATTATAGGTGTGTGCCACCATTCCTGGTCCGTGGCTGGCTCAGCAGGCGGGACGTGTGTATGGGTGGTGCTGACACATCATGAGGTGCTGGGGATCAAACTCCTTGGCTTGCCTAAGCAGGCACTAAGTCTACTCAGCTATCTCACCTGCAGGAAGACTATCTAATCTTCAGTAGAACAGCATGTTTTCTTGGTGGTTTCTCGGAGAACAAAGGAGAAATTGTCTATATTGTCTCATGCAAAGGCCAGATCACTATGTGCATCAGCTCCCTAAACCATACACATGTCTCCCGGGGCCCTGCCAGACTCCTGAGGAGCAGTGGCCTTATCCTAGATACCCAAGTTACAGACTGCTTGGACCCAACAATATAGAAATTTTTCAAAACCAGAATGTTTTTGTTTTTACTTCTTTTGAGATGGAGGGTCTCACTTTATACTTTAGGTTGGCCTCAAACTTACTACGTAGCCCAGGTTAGGCCTCAAACTTAGAGCAATCCTCCTGCCTCAGTCTCCCAAGTGCTGGGATTACAGGTATGCACCACTACACCCAGCTAGATTTTTTGGCAGAGCTGGGGATTGAACTCAGGGCTTTGTGTTTGCTAGGAAGTTTTCCATCACTGAGCTACTTGTTCTGTGCTAAGAATTTTGAATTCTAGCTTTAAGACATGAGGTAGAATTTAATGGTAAAGTTCTTGACTAGCAGGTGCAAGGCCCTGGGTTCTCAGCCCTGCCAATATGAAAGATTTATTTATTTTATTTATTTGGCAGTAACAGGGATTAAATCCAAAGCTTTGCAGACGCTAGGCCCGTGCTCTACCACAAAGTTCTGGAATGTTTAGATCATGGAATATAGTGCCACACAGATTGTAAAGACAGGATGAAGTGTGATTTTCAGCTCATATTTATATTACCTTCATTTGCAAATATATAACCGCTTTCTCCAATGCACCACCATTCTCAAGGGCTTGCAACATTTTCTTCAGTTTCAAATCAGGAGTCTTGCTCATTGCTCTACAATGTGGCACTTTAGCCTGTGATGTGGGTCTCAAACAGCCATGATAACCCTGGATTCTTAATTGACCAGAACACATATGATTTCCATTAAAAAAAAAGGGAATTCAAGGGGCCTGGCAGATAGTACCTACCTGGCAAGTGCAAGGACTGGGGTTTAATCCCCGGTACTGTGTGCTGTGCTGGCCACAGAAACAGGCGTGGTGGTACAAGCCTGTAATCCTAGCACTGGGGAGGCTGAGACAGGAGAAACACTATGAGTCTGAGCTGTGTACTGAGACTCTGTACCACATAAATAAAAGATTTTTTAAAAAAAGAAGAAAAAGGGAATTTGAGTTTTATGAGGCCAAGTAAAGAAATGAGAGTAGCCAAGGTCTGACTTCAAATCCAATTCTCTCCCTACGCAATCATTGTATCTCTCACGTTTTGCATATAGTACATAACTTCTGCGCATCTTCCATCACGAGCAGTCTCATGATTTTTAACACCTAATTATCAGAGTCAGTTTTTGGCACTATAACCAATAATGATCTGGTTGGTAAAAAGCAGCATGTCTTGATTTAAATCATCAGAATTGGTATTAGTAGTTCTCTAATCAAATATGATTGTTTTATTATAGATAATGCTAAAAATATTACTCACCTGATTCTTATTTTCTTTTTGTGCTTCCTGTTTAAGGTGGGTTTTCAAAGCCTTTAAGAGCTTGTTTGCCTGTAAAAACACCGTATCATTAGAGCTAAAGTCCAATAAGATGTGTTGAACATATTTTGCTGAGTGCTAGGATTACAGGACTATGTTGTTCCACTGACCTGTCTCCAAATTTTGGTTTTATTTTTAAAAGTATGTTTCCTCTAAATAAGGAACAATCCCAGAACTTGGGAGGCTGAAGCAAGAGTATAGTTGTGAGTTTGAGACCAGCCTGGGCTACAAAATGGTCTCAAGGTCAGGCTAAACTAGAAAGTGAAACCCTGTCTCAAACAAACAAAAAAAATCAGGATCAAACTTAATTTCTTGTATGCAGTGTGTTAATTATTGAAACTGTCCTACCGATTTGATTTG